AACATAATAAATTTATTATATATATATATATATCAATTCATATAGAATATAATATATAGAATATATTTTTTATTATTTAAAATATAATTATATAAAATTTATATATTAAATTAAAAAATAATATAATATAATCAGATCCATATTTTAATTGGATTGGATGTTAGATTGGGCCAGATTTTCGGATATCATTGACGAGCCTACTTGTATCATCCACCAACAAGGTGCTAACCAGCTAGTTGGTACCTATTGGTCGTAGGCTTGTAGCGAAGACTTGGGGGTCATATCCCGCTTGCACCTGGGTTGGGGGGTGGGCTACTTCGTGTGCAACCCTTCAAAAATATCAAAAAGGGTAAAATGTAAAAACCTCCCCGAAGTTTTTGACCATCGTAAAAACCTCCCCTGTAATTTTACTTTAACAAAAACCTCATTTGAACTTTTAAAGAACTCAATAAAAGCATCCCTTCTATCATTTATTTAAGACGAAAAACCGATAAAATTATAAAATTGCCCTTAATTAATTGTTAGGGTGTCATTAAAATATTTTAAAATACCATAATTTCCCCTGTTTCCCCTCCTCTTGATGCAAAAGAAGGGAACGATGTGAAATCCTTCCCCCAATCTTCTCTCACTGGTTTTTCTCCTTTATTTCTTCTTCTTCTTCTTCTTCTTCTTCTTCTTTGTCCCCTCTCACCTTTTTTTTCTTTGTTTTTCTCTCCCCTTCTCTTTTTCTTCTTCCCCATCTTTTGTTTCTTCCTCTTCTTTTAACCGCCACTACAACTCTCAACAGCAGGGGTCTGCTTTCTCCTCATCGCTTCTCTCTTCAAGTAGAACACCAATATCCATCCAACCAACTATCAAAAGAGAGAAACATAAATTTCTTTGTCGACCCATAAAAATCCAACTATTTCTCTATCATCGCAGATTATCACCTAAATCAAATTTTCTGCAATGACACCAATTGGAGTTTTCATAGGGATATTCCTCCTATTGGCTCTCTATTGTGGGATTGACCCTTTTAAGCACAATGCCATCGCTGGCTTCCCTAATTTTTTCGCTCACAAGATTGATTTGCATCCATGGCTAGAGGTTCTAATCAAGAGGGGGACATAAAATCTTTTGTAGAAAGCCAAGATTAAGGCCATGTTTGGTTCACTGCTCTAGGCTTCATTCTCTTAACTCTTGCTCATTCTTGTCAAGAATGAATAACATTAGAGTATTTGGTTACAAAATTATTGCCAACGACAGAACCAGTCCCATAGCACAAAAATTGACTAGCCTGCAACAAGAAAAATAGTCATGCCTCATCTTGCTCATTTCATTCTTTGAGGAAACTCTACGTATAAAACTGTTGTCATAGATGTTCACTTTTGTGAATGCACTTTATAAAAGTGTTTTTATGAAAACACTTTTATAAAAGTACTTTTATGAAAGCATTTTTATAGAAGTATTTTTACGAAAGCACTTTTGCGAAAGTACTTTTATAGAAACTTTTGTGGAAGTACTTTTACAAAAATAATTTTATAAAAGCACTTTTGTGTAAGTACTTTTATGGAGGTACTTTTACAAAAGCACTTTTAGGAAAGCATTTCTATAAAAGCACTTTTACAAAACATCTATGCCAATTGGTAAACATTGATTATTGGAGACCTAGGCTAGCGGTTTGTGAATACTAGCACTTTTTTTTTTTTTTGAAGAATAAAAACGAGTAACATAGGGCAGTTGTTAGTCTGAAAATAATTCATTTTTAGGGAAAAAAGTGTGGGGTTCATAGCAATATTTTCTCATTCTACCTATTTTTACCCATTCTTTTCCATTTTAGAATTTCATCTTGGGTATGAATGAGAAAGAATGAGAATTGAACCAAACATGGCCAAACTCTTTCATTCTTGCCCATTCTTGCCTATAATGAACAAGAATTAAGAGAATGAGACCCAGAACAATGAATCAAACATGGCCTAAGTTTCTGAATTAGGTTCAAGGTCCAGAAAGCATTGACCCACTTGGTCAAGGATCTTACACTGAAGTTGCCAATGGCTGATTTCTTTTCTAGAACGACAACTCTTGGACTGATTTAATGAGGACCGAATACCCCAAACAGAACTTGTAGGAAGGCACGAGGGCGAACTCCAACGAGTTCTCAGTTAGTGCATCTCCATGATTCTCATGAACATGGAAGTTGCTGCTGCTGCTACAACATGGATCAACTTCTTTCATGTTTTGGGATATCTCCATTAAATGAGGATGGATTACGACTACAACACTTACCATGTATGCAACCCATGATCTAAGAATTAAGATCAAGTGGGGAGCGGGAAAATGGGCTTTTATAGAAAGCAACATTGTGGAATTAATGGAAGTTCTTCTTAAAGTATGTGTTGAATTTTCCAAAAATTTAGGGAAGGTTTTTGTTAAAGTAAAACTTGAGGGAAGATTTTCATGATTGTCAGAAACCTCAAGAGAGATTTTTGTATTTTATCCTATAAAAGGGTAAATTATAAAGACGCCTGTACTTCAATTTGCGACTTAACTTTAGCCGTTAGACAACCCCTTCATTAGCACTCTGTCATTTAACTTTGAAAAAGATTTTCATCCGATTGTTTAAAGTTTTCCAAATGCCCAAACTATCATTTTCTAATTTATTTTATCATTTTCTTTAATTTATGAAATTAATATCTTAGGATTCTATCCGATAAAGGTAACAACTTTTCAAATAAGGGCAATGTATGTATCGATTCTGAAGCACGACTGAATATACACCGTTTTTCTCTTTTTTTTTTCTTTGAATCAGACTGAATATGCACGTTCTCTTTTTTTTTTTTTTTCTTTGAATTAGACTGAATATGCACTGTTCATCTTCTTCCCCATCACGACACCGAATAGAGAGGGCTGTGACCCCTAAGCTCTCTTCCCCATTCTCTCTCTCTCTCTCTCTGCTTTTTTTTTTCTTCCTCCTCCTCTTTCTTCTTCATTCCTACTGTCTCCTTTCTCTCTCTTGATGAACCAAACCACCTGGTCGTCCCTTGTTCATCGTCTACCCTCTCTTGACTCGACGCAGGGGTGGAGTCCCAACGAGAACTCTCCGCCACGACTCCATTTCTCTCATCCATTTTCTCCTTATTCTTCTCTCTTACCCTCTCTCATTCCCTATCTTTTCCCCTCCCCATTTTGATCACTGTTCATTGTCGAACATCGACTCCTTGGTGGTGAATATTTTATCCACTTTCTCCATTCTCATCACTAGCGAAAATCTCTGTTTTTCATCCTCTTTTATTTATTTATTTATTTATTTTGCCATCGTCATTCCATTGTTCCTCTATATGTTGTTGACCTCCCCAACCATTTATCAATCTCCCCTGTCCCCTATTTCGTTCATTGTTCGAGTAGAGTTGACTATAACAGTGGAAATCGCGTGAAAAAGATGAAGACTGTCCTAATCATATTCCACTACTACATTGGAAGGCTTGAGCAGAGTGACCTATATTTTCACTCTTTCATCAGAAGGCTCGCACTATTCGAATTGATCTCTTGATCATATTCCACGAAGGCCGTCCCTGTTGGAGGACTAGCAACCCGAAGCGTGAATCGTCTGAGAAAAACCTCCTTCCCATCGATCGAAGAAACACTAAGCTGAGAGCCTGAAACAAGAAATGATAGGAATGCCAATGTGGAAAATGGCTTTGGGAGATTTTTATTTCTGATATGGATTGAGTAGATTGATTCCCACCAGATTGTGACCCTGGTTTACTTGATATTACTTTTTGCTGAGAAAAGAAATTGAGAGTTCAGTAAAGATCGCTGGAAGGAGAAGGACAAAGTGAGGGGTACCATGGAGAGATACAGAGGTTTCGGGTGAGGAAAAACAAAATAAGACGATGCAACTTTGCTTAAATTTAAAAAAAAAAAAGAAAAAGAAAAACAAATAGAGCAAATGGCGGTAAACAACGGAGAGATACAGAGGGTTTCATTGTTGACAGTGCCTTTATTTGATATTTTTTCAAAAAAAAATTATTCTATTCTAATTATTATATAAAAATTATTACTTTTATTGGTATTTATGCTCAGTTTTGAAGGATTATAAGTGCAAATATGCACATTATAAATATATAAAATATATAGTTTTGCACTCTACGAATTTGTATTTGTAGTCCTTCCAAACTGAGCATTAGAGATGAAAAATTGCCTTTATCAGCAATTAGCCCATTATTTTACCGTATTTTTTACATTTTGTATTGTTCATTGTTTTCTCCGATAGAGAAGACTCATTTACATAAAAGAGAGAGAAGAGATCAACAACATGAAACCATAAAATCAGAGTATGTTGTTTTCTCAGTCGTTTTATTGAAGCAACATATCTCCATTTGGATCAATTAGGTTTAAAAAAAAAATAGAAAAAGTTTAATGAGATATTTTGGCAATTTAAGGCCTTCCGTCATCTAACTTAACAACTGAGGGGGCATTTGTCACAATGTAAAAATTCAGAGGGTCTTTATCGCAAATTGAAGTACAGGGGTGTCTTTGTTACTGACCTATACTAAGGGGGGCCTTTGTAATTTACCTACTCGTATGATCGTATCGTCCACCATTTCCGTCTCCATCTCTTGATTCTGGATGGGAGCGGTCACATGCTAAAAGTCAGTGACTCACTTTTTTCCCTACGCGAGCGCTTCCTTTTTCATCATTAGTCTCCTAAGGAGAGCGATATTCAGATAGAAGTTCTCGTACGCTAAGAATTCCGCCAATCCCTCTTTCTTCATTGTTCATTGGCTACAAAAGTTAAAATGATCGATGATGAACACGTGGCGATCATCTGAGCCCGACTTTACGAGGAGTCTCATCTGAATGAATGTAGTCAGAAGATACCATGCCACGTCTGGGCTTGCCTGGCCCAACTCACCACGTCGGCATTTCGTGCCACTGGGATTCATAACTGCCAGAAAGTGAGGGTAACCTAGTAATTTCGCGGGAATCATTGCCCTACTTCCTCTTCTTGTGACTCTTGTCTCGTTTCGGAGTAAATTTGAGCTTATCTTACAGGAAAAATGAACACAAACTGACATTAATCTCTCTCTCCTTCTCTCTCTCTCTCTCTCTCTCTGGAAGAATTTGGGGATTTTTTTCGAGGCTTGTGAATTCCTAACCGGTTTAGTTCTGTTCTGTTCCGGTTAAAACCTGTTCTCTGTTCATTGTTCCTCGAAGCGCCATTGCCGTTTTCACAGGTATGTTTTCATGTGTGCACTCTTTCCTCCATTAAATTCTCTCTCTCCTTTGCTTCTTCTATTTATTTCCCTAATTTTGAATCGTTCTGTTAAAACCCTGGTTTGTTAGGAACATTGGTTTTTGTTTACCTTATTTTGTTCGTTGAACTTTGATTCCGAGTGTTCGTGACTGCATGCTTATCTGATTCAGGGAGACCATAGAAATGAGAAGTGAAACATAACGTGGTTTGAGCGATAGAAGTGGCTTTACTGCAAATTGTTTTTTTTTTTTTTAATTGACGTTGCATGAAGAGTGCGTATGGTCTGGCTTAGGGTTTTTGGCCATGCACACCTTTTCTATTGTTTGTTGCATTGTAGGGTATCGTGTTTGATATTTTGTGTTGCTTCTTTGATTGGTTGTGCTAGAGGGGTTAGTACCCCTGATTGTTCTGTTGAGTCGATTTTGACTTTATGCAGTGCATTTGTAGATATATCCAGGGGGCTTGATCCTCTAACTTTACAATGTTTTCATCCTCTAGGACACATGTATTGGATCTTGTACCATTTCTCATTGTGTTAAGATGAGGCTATGTACTTTGGGTTCTCATCTATGTCCTTTGGGTTCTCATATATGTAGAACTCTTCCTTAGCAGTGGTTTAAAGGTGAGCCTCAAGCATGTCTAGCTGCAAAGGTGAAGTGCATTTTAACATGCAGCTCGCTTAAACCCAGGCACAGCCCCTTTCCTCAGTTCAGGCATGTGCCTAATTAAAATATGCCTTTTTTTGTCTTTTAAATATGCTTTAAATAGAACGGAATGGCGAAACAGGATTTGTGTAGCCAACCCCATATAGTTGGGATGAGGCATGGATGATGATGATGTGTTTTACACCTTTGTGATGGTTTATCAACTTCCAAATTACCTTCTATTGTTGTTTGCACACTAGTAATGGTCTTTTTACTTTTCAATAAACAAAAAGAAAGACTTCTTAAATACCTAAAGCGTCAGTTCTTGTAAATAGGATCTCAAATGGCAAAATTTCCACTAAAAAGGCAACAACAATAAAAGAATATAATTGTAACTCCTTACCCTGCATGGACTTGTTTGGACTTGCCTCGAAGAGTGGCCTTTAATGGGCAGAGGGCTGATCTCCTAGGATTAGGAATTCAAGTTGTTTACATCACACTAGCCATTTGAAGTAATGCAACTGGATTCTTAATTTATGTCCAAGAATATGTAAAATTATATAAAATGGTGTATTCTAGTTGAATCTTATATCCTCCAGCTTCCATGTGAAATATCATGAGGTATTACTAACAATCTGTATGTTTTATTTGTTGTGAAAACCTGCTTTTGGAGGTGAATTCTAGTTATCTCTGTTTTTCACTGGGCTAACCTATTTCATGCATCAATCTTTCTGTAATACTAGATCTTGGAAGATCTTACAAGGAGACGTATATGTGCACAAGATTTTACAGTGTTATTGGATTTAGAGCTGGGCACACTTTTTGGCAATGTCATTGGTATTATACTAGTTGAACCTGTTGATTTCCATATGCGCATATGTTGTGTTGTTCCCGGGTGTTTTTGCCATGTCCAATAGTCCAGGGCTACAGCAATTGTCAATTCCAAGTAAGCAGATGGGGCAAATGGAAACCATGTCCAGCAGCATGGCACCACAGCAATTAGCAATACCAGGAAAACTAACATCTCATATAGAACCTAGATCCAGTAATTTGGTGTCACCACATTTATTAGCCAATAAGCGGCCAGCACAGATGGAACCCATGTTCAGCAATCTGATGGCACATCAATTATCAGCTCCAAAGAGAACTGTACAGATAGGGTCTACTGCCAGTAAACCAGGGTCACAGCAATTGCCAATACCAAACAAACGAACTGCTCAGATGGAACCATCTCCTAAGGGCCAAAGTGAGTCATTTGAGTCTGTCAGGTCCAAGCTGAGAGAATCATTAGCTTCTGCATTGGCTTTGGTTTCTCAGAAAAATAACAAAGTGTCAGATGTAGGAACAACTTCTCAGAATGAAGCTGCAAATACTCCTAGACAGGCCCATGAAGGTTCTCAGCCAGCTGAATCTTCAACAACAATTGGTACTGGATCACAGCATATACCTGAAAGGCATTTGGAAACTCTTCCTTCCCAAGATTTCAGTTCTCAAAAACATGATGGTGGCCAAAATTCTTCTCAAGGAGTTTCATCTAATGAAAATGTAGAAAATGCATTAAAAAACTGGGAGGTTGAAGGACCGGAATTCCAGTTGAAGCATGTATTTTCAGAAGAAGATACTTCATTCAGTAACAGCTTCCTTATCAAAGATGAACTTCTACAGGGAAATGGACTCTATTGGGCAACAGATCTTGATGTAGAGGTTTCCAAAGCAATGGAATGCCATTCTGCAAAACGACCTAAATTAGAGCATGAGAAAGAATGTAGAGATGGGGTAAAGCAAACATTTCTATCTCCAGAAACTTTGGCATTCAAAATTGAATCTGAACTCTTCAAATTATTTGGAGGTGTTAACAAGAAGTACAAGGAGAAGGGCAGGTCTCTATTATTCAATTTGAAAGATCGCAATAATCCAGAACTGAGAGAAAGAGTAATGTCTGGAGAAATTACTCCAGAACGTCTATGTTCTATGACTGCAGAGGAACTTGCTTCAAAAGAGCTCTCTCAGTGGAGAATTGCCAAAGCAGAAGAACTTGCACAAATGGTAGTTCTCCCAGATTCACATGTTGATATTAGACGTTTGGTGAAGAAGACACATAAAGGTGAGTTTCAAGTAGAAGTTGAACAAAATGATAGTGTCTCGGTGGAAGTTGCTGTTGGAGCAAGTTCACTTTCTCCAATCCTGCACAAAACTAATGAAGCAAATGCTCAGCTTCCTTCTAAACCTAGTGTAACTGAAACATCTGAAGTAGCTGTTGAGTCTGATAAGAGTATCCAAGAGGACAAAACACTCCCAAGTAGCATATCTGCCCTTTCACATGATGGGACTGATTATATGCAAGGGTTCATGGTGGATGAATTGAGGGATGCAGAATTTCTTCCTCCAATAGTCTCTCTAGATGAGTTCATGGAATCTCTTGATTCAGAACCACCATTTGAGAACATACAAGTAGATGCTGGGCAGTATGGAAATATATCAGGTGAGAAGAAGAGCTCTGGTGCTGGCACCAGGTTGGATTTCCCAAGTCTTGGTTCAACAGATCCAGTAGATACCGCCCCTAATAAATTGGAGGAAATGAATGCTAAATCCACAAGGATAGATAGTAATGTGAAATCCAGTGATATTCATATAGACACGGGAACCTCTTCTCCTGGTGCTGCAACTAAGGGTGAGCATGTATGGGAAGGCATTCTTCAGTTGAATTTCTCAACCATGGTCACAGTTGTTGGCTTGTTTAAAAGGTGCAATTGTTATCCTGTTATCCTGTTTAAGTTTTTCTTTGATATGAGTTTTATTTTTATTTTTTTCTGTTGCAGATTACAGTTTTGTGATGTAGATTTTGATAGACAAAATGGGTATTTAGTCTTGCTTATGCATTCTAGAAATAATTTTCCATTTACTGGTTGTTACTAAAGCATTTTGTACCTTTAATGGACATACTAAATGTACAGGTTATGTAGATCAGTAGAAAGTCCATACCATACAATGACTGTCACAGTGCCATTATGCTTTTCAGAGACAAGTGCTTTGAAATTTAGATGTGTCAATTATTATGCCGAACAGTTCATCTATATAATATGTATTGAAGTCAAACGTGAAATGCCTTACACCAATAGATGCCATTGTTTCCTGGTAATATGTATTGAAGTCAACCAGCATGTCTCATTGTTTCCTGGTATTTTGTTTCTGAAGGCTGGATCACGTGTTAAGAATATAAGTTGCTACATTTATGATACTTGGATACTTATATATAAGTGCTGCCATATCACATCAGATACTTCATTTTTTTAATGAAATTCCATATCTGATACTGTGTCTAACATGTTCTTGCCATACCTGATTACCATAAGACTGGGGTTGTACTTGCATAAAGGCACTACATGCAACAACTCCATTAAACACGTGTAGGCAACACCAGTATCTGGACGCCCTTGTGAAAAGCTATTGCACTGCTCCGGAAAAAATGATTGTTTTGTTAGTTGGGGGGGGGGAGGGGTTAGTTTATTCTAGGGAGTTCATTACTGGTGCAGCATGTCTTCCAAAGGTATGTGATAAAATGGAAAGGTGCACAGCAATGTGAAGGCTTTTCCACTCTAGGTCCATTAAACCTTCTGGACTGTTATTTCTCATTCATTGAAAGATTTCTATTTACTTTTTAAGTTTTGTCACACTGCATTGATATTGTTTGTCTGAAAGCTTATTACTGCATACTGTAGTTTTGTCTATGCGAATATTTATCTGCCAGTCCATGCATATTGGTTCCATTCAGGCGTTACCTGCTTTCTTTAACAAAACCTATTGGTGGTCTAACTGGTCAATGCGAAATCTTTTGTGGAAGTAATGTGTATTAAGAGCATGGAGGTGTTCAAGCTTTCAGTACACCTCAGCACAGTATGTTATCTCCATTTATCAAGGGAATATGTTGCTTCACTATATCCATATTGCATAACTTGAGCCTCTCAAGAAAAGAACCTGTGCCAGATTTGTAATGACTAACGAGGAAGAATACTAGCAAGCTGTGTTATTTAAGAGAATACATATTTGGAATTTGTTGTTTGTAGCAAATTTCATATTAAGTATCTATACCATTTTGGTTTTTTATTTTCTGTAAACTTCATTTTTCCTGCAACAGCAATTGCTTTACTATTAAGAATAGATATCTAGATTTTGTCAAGCTATTGATGGCCAATTTTCATCAAATAAAATATCATGAATCTTGTCTAATTTAAAAGCATCATATTGGAGTAATAAGTTTGTTCTGAATATTCCTTTTTTAATCTCTGCATGTTTCTTCTTACCACATGCTGATCTGATTTTGTTGTTATAGTGGTGAAAAAACATCTGCAAAAGAGTGGCCTAGATTTCTTGAGATCAAGGGGAGGGTCAGACTCAATGCATTTGAGAAATTCCTACAGGATCTTCGAATGTCTCGGAGTCGTGCAATCATGGTATCCCACATTAATTTCTTTTCATTATTATTACTATTCTTGTATCTCATTTCAGTGTATATTATTAGTCCTACTGCCATTGCAGCCTAGGGCTTTTTGATCTGATTCCACAACACTCCTATCCTAGACCAACACTTGAATGGCATTTTCTTTTAGTAATGCGAATGTTGATGAGATTTCAATGCGAATGGGCTTCTGTGGAGATAACCAATTATTTTCCTTAGAATTTCTATCAAGATAATGTGTTCCTTGGGCTGATAACAAAATTATTGCATTCTATCATTTCTCATAAAAATGAATTTAATTATAAACCTGAAAAAGAAAGAAATATTGCAACAATGGAATTTACGGTCAAACAATTTCTATGCAAGAAATTAGCTCTAGCTCCATATCCATCAGCTGGACTTCAATTAAGAGGAAGTCCAAATTACATCATAAAGCCAATCCAGTTATGGCTAGGGAAGGGGTTTTTCCTTCTCTTTTCATTTTGTTAACGAATGGAGAAAGAGATTCAAGATCATACAAATGGAAAGCAATGTGAAATCCTTAAAAATACTACGGGAGATGCCATGGGAATGCTTTTTTTTTTCCCGAAATCAGCAAATCTCAATGGTTGCTCGTTGTTAATCTCCACCCTTTTCCTTGTGTTTCTCATCAATTTCTCACACCATTATCTTATCTTGTTCCACTTGCTGTATTTTTTAGACTTACAGGATTAAATGTTCTCTATATTGTTCCCATTACCAGGGTTGGGGGGGGGGGGGTCATGGGTTTAGGGTGATGGGCTACCCCCCCGTTATGTAGCCCCATGAATCAAAAATGGGAAAAAAAAACTCCACTTGTCTTGGTTACGTTTAGACGTGCATTGCCTTTTGTGGCATTTCCTATCCAGTTGATTGTTGCATTTGTCATGGTCGTAATTCATGGAACTTGCTATACTTTGTAGGTCGTCCAATTTTGTTGGAAGGAAGGATCCCCAGAGAATGGACGAGTAAATCTTTGTGAGGTGATGCCCATCCTAATCCTATACATTCCGCCTCATCTCCCTTCCTGTGCCATATTCTGTCCTCGATCTGACCCAAATCTTTGTTTTATCTATTTTTTACAGGTGGCTGATTCTTATGTTATGGACGAGAGAGTGGGATTCGCTGAACTCCCCGGGGTAGAACTCTACTTTTGCCCACCTCATACGAGAACAGTGGAAATGCTTGGCAAGATCCTGACTAAGGACCAATCAGAGACACTTGGTAGTACAGATACCGGTCTCATTGGGGTGGTTGTATGGAAGAAGGCTCAGGCAATCTCCCCAACGTCACCCAACTCATCTGGGCACCATAAACACAGCTCAAAAAAGCAGCACCTTGCTTCAAGGAAACAGCAAGAAAAGGATGCTAATGCAAATTTGAATGCCAATGCATCCTCGAAACCTCCATTACCTTTGGGACCACCTCCTACTAATCCAGAGCCCCCACCTGATGATGACCCCATCGATGATGTTCCGCCTGGCTTTGGCCCAGCAGCTGCCAGGGACGAGGATGACCTACCAGAATTTGATTTTGTTAGAGGCACTAACTTGCCATTTTCTCAGTTCTCTGCCCTTAAAAAACCCCCACATGGGTCTGGCATGGCGCCTTTCCCCTCTCCTCAACCACCACCCCGTCCAGTAGAGCAAATGAGACAACTGGTTCATAAATACGGCCAGGGTCAAGCAGGTTCTAATCCTGTGAACTGGCAGCACAGACATGGAGGTCTTGAGGTTCATCCTTGGGATGATGATGACATCCCAGAGTGGCAGCCGCAACCCTCACAACAGCCATTGCCACCACCAGTGCACAACTTTCAGCAACCACTGCTGCCCCAACATCAACATATGGTAAATGTAAATCAACAGCATCCATTGTCAGGGCAACCTCAACAGCCATCATCTGTTCACCCTTCTCAGCCTGTTAACCCACTAGCGGGACAACAAATGCCGTTTCTGCGGCCCTCGATGAATATGATGCCGAGCCAAGTCCATCAAACTGTGGCCCCTCCCCCTCCTACTTGGCAGCACGGTGTGTGGTGGACCCCTCCATCTGGAACTGGAGGTTCTCAAGGCCATGCTGCCCAAGCCAATGGGGTAAGACAACCCTGCCATTTTGGTGGGCAGCCGGTTGAAGGCCAGCTTCATGGAACGCCAAGCTACGGAGCTGCACAAAACAGCATGGATTGGAGACAAGATGCCTCGAGGGGGAGAGGATTTTAGGATCCCCCATGTAAATCCCATGTCATCAGCATCTAACTTAGTTTTGTAATTATAAAATCCTTTTCTGTATACTAAACTAGCTTCAGCCTTTGAGCTTTAAAGCCAGAAAAAATACAAAAATTAGTTTCGTTCGGCTTAAGAGGGAATAAAGGTAGTAGACGGACTATCCCTCCCAAGCAAGGTTCAAAGTATCGATATGCCCGATATGCCGGTAGGGGCATATCAGGTGAATAGACATTGTTTTTTATTGCTTTTTTATTTTTTTGCAACCGGTTCAGGGGGATGGTTTAGAGCTCCTCCACCCCCTGAACTGGTCAGACCCCTGATACACCCACTGTAAGGGTGTATTGGAGGGGTCTCAGAACGATACGTATTGGCTGATACGTGTCAATATTTTGAACCTTTCTCCCAAGACCTCAGATTGGCTCGGACCAATGCTGGTAATGGCCTTACTAAAACAATCTATGTGGTGGGTGTACTGCTGGCCCTTTTTGATGTATATTCCTCTTTATCGTTTTACAAAGAAAGCTTATCGAATTGTAGTGGCTGGAAACGTTCTTACAGGTTAGATCCCGCGCTGTTCACCTTCCTTTCGTTTTGCTTTATGGTTTTCTATTCTGGAAACTAGTTTATTCAACTTTTCAACCAATATTTTTAGGTTGGTTAGGTAAAGTACAACTTCCGACCAATGCGGGTAACCCTTATTTTAGACGCACCATGTACCTGGATTGCAAATATAAAGCTAGAAATGAACGAGGGAAAAAGTTATAATAGGCCTAAGCTTGATCATCCGTAGAAAATGATGCCATTAAGATGCGAACATTTGATGCTTTCCCTCGTGTCCCAAAGAAATTCTGACCTGTCAGTTTTACCACCTGCAGTTTCTGTATTAGCGATAATGCAATGCAATTGTGTACCAAATTGTAAACAAATTTCACCAGATAAGACGGCATGAGGCGCAGCCAACAAAGCTTCCAAAAGATCGAGCTAAGTTTCCCCACATTTTCTGCTGCAGAGGAGAGTAAAGCAGCAATTTGTGCTGTTTCAACGTTCTGGGAGAAAAGAAATATTTCCAGAAACATTTTAGTAGATTTAATGAATCTCGATAGCGAAACAAATTTCAAAGTTGCTTCAATTACCGATGAGGCGATGAGCACGGAGGAATGCCAAACACCAACATTCTTGATGGTTTTTGGTAACGTGGACCATGGCATTTTTTTTTGGATAAAACGGAAATTAACAGAGGGGGCCATGGGCCTGATTTGCTAACCAATCTGCAACATTGTTGGCTTCTCGGACCATGGCATTTTAGCTTGAATCATAGCATTTCAAAATACAATATTTCATTATTGTTTCAAACATATGGGCGCCACATAGAATGAAAGAGGGAATCCCACCAGATGACCAGAATCCAATATCAAACAGCGAAAACTCGAGCAGGCTCAGCCATCGCAATACTACCTGACAATTTACAGTAACCCTAGTTTACAAAGTAGTGAACTACAAACAGGAACATAAAAATGACATGCCAAAAATCGAGGATCCTGAGGGTGAAGATTTCGGGGAACTAAAATCTATCAAACATGCCAATTGCCAGGATCTCACCGGTCCGGGGGAATTACAATTTAGAAGCTCAGGGTTTCTACCATCAGGCCCATTATGTTGCATTGTGATTTTAGTGCAAAGGGATCTTCAGTTAACATTCAAGCAGCAAGGTTCACAGCATGAGTGTGACTGAATTTCTGCTGCACAACTTAAGGCATTTCTTTAAATATACGCTTGTAGCAAGACTTGTAAAATACTACTAAGATGAGGAAATTCAACACATATTTAGTGGACATTTCACAAAATAAGGGCAAAATAGAAAGCTAACTTCAATTATTCTTCTTTCACTCCAAACGTTGCTTGTTGATCATCATTGCGAAATCAATTGGTACAATGTGAATTCATGACAAAATTTCTATGTTTTGTAATACATCAACACCGAACAATGGTCAGGAAACATATACGATTGGGTACAAACCGTCGAAGCACTGCAGGTCAGCTCATCGGGCAAAATGTTATGCCGAAGTGTTATGACCAAATATAGAACCATCCGGTGAAACATCAGCGCTCCCCTTGACCTTAAATAAATATTTATAGCCTTGAAATGCTGCACATTCTAACCCCACTTACCACCACTATCCAGGATCGACTCAACAAGAACAGTAGATGATTCAACTCAGAACAAAATGAACTATAAATATACACATTTTAACAGAATTTATCCTGAAACCCGGTGGAAGAAATGGCTATCAGGGTAAAAAAGTCTCAAAGCATTTGTTGACAAAACTTATAAGTACTTCCGTTCAGATCTTTCCCTCCTTTGGGAATTTTGGATACCTTCTGGGCCCCGAGCATGATTCAGCTCTTTTGACACTTTCTCAGTTTCTCCCTGTATCTCTTGGATCTATAGCTCTAGAAGATAGGTTAGGTGATGATGTGAAATTAGATGGTTAGATTGTTGAATGCCTCTAATTTCCCATTTACAGAGTAAGAATCTCCACGTTGAGTAGCCTCATGATGGTTGTTCAAATCCCCATTTTGACGTGTATTCAAGATTTTGTCCTCGGCAGATTTCGAGAAGGCTGAGCTGCGTATACCTTCAAAGTATGTTGAGAAAGGGAAGTACTCAGCACATCGTGTTTTCCATCCTGCAAGAAAATAACAACTTTTAATAGCACATACAAGTTCTTGCTAGAATTAACCTGAGCCAGACAACTAGGTTATTTCTTCAGGCAGTTAATAGCCAGACAACAAGGAGGAGCGATCTATGGTAGACCAAGATGTTGTATTATAGGTGATGATATAACCATGTTTGGATCTATCCAATCAACATGTGATGAAATGTAGCACCAAACGTGTGGATGATTACATTATGAATGAATGCACTCATGCGAAGGATCCCCTTCAACTTTTTATTTGGTGACACTAGTAAATGTAAAATGAGTAGATCTCCAATGTAACAGTTTTGGGATCCCCTTCCCAAGGAAAGAAGATAACGGCACTTGTATTAGTTATTTTGACAAGTATGTCATAGTGATTCTTTCAAATAACCAAGGTTAATACATCCTCTTTGTTTCCCCCTTCAATGTATTTCAACTCATCTATGCCAAAGAAAAATAAATCTCACCCAAAAAACAACTTGGAAAACCCAGATAGCAAAAAAATATCAGTAATAGAAAATGATGTTGCAGCACTTACTAGATGCAGCTCCAGGATCAACCAGGACTGCTCCAAGGAATTTGTGAACTGAAATACAATCTTTGAGCTTCCATTCCTTTACTGCTCCTAATGCTCCATTTCTGGTTGGCAAAACATGAGAAGCTTCAATTTTTTTTTTCCAACAGATTTGTACTTCTTTTAATTATCAGTAGATTTCAATCTTTCTGGCAGTTACAGAACGTGAGAAAACATGGAAAGAGAGAGTACGCTTGCATCACGCTGTTGGTTGAATCTTCAATAAGTTTGATAGCCTCTGCTTTCTTCTGAGGATCCAGAACAAATAGCATTTCTGCAGCTGCTGCTCTATGCATCAAGGAATCTACAAAAATAAAATCCAAAGTACTAGTATAATTAGCAGAACATGAACATTTTAACTGTAATCCTACATATCTTTCAGGGTTAAGAAGCAGATAAAACCTTTATGCTTTTCAAGGAAGCAGTTGTTTGCTTCAATTAGAGATTTCCCATGCAATTGACTGCAAAGATTAGGAACCACTATTGAGATTCAAAGGAGCTCTAAGAATAACACTAAACTGAATCAAGAAAATTATAGTGCCATAGGAACCTCAGATCAGGGCGCTCTGCTTCTAAAACACGCCAAATGAGTTTCTCTGCATCAGTCACTGGAGCTGACATGTTATCCACCTTATGAAAGAATCTTATCTGTCGTAAGAAGTCCAACATTAGCATATCAAAATCACAAGACTGAACATTTAAATTTCATCTTGCACTGCCAGTTCATATCAGGATGGAAGATATACCAAGCACCGATGAGTATCAGGGTTATCTGCATCCAACCGAAGTAATTGCTTTACAGCCTAAAAAGAACAGGAAATTATAAGAACAAATTGCATTGACAAACTAAATCCAGCAACTGCATCCATCAACAAGTTGCAAAACTAAAAACATGCCAAAACCATATAAATATTCTGACCCCATCAACCAATTTAAATTTCTTTAGAATCTGAACTTGTTTATTTGAGGCTTTGTGTTAATAACAACTCTCCTCTTGTTTGTTGTAGAGATGAAATTCTGATAGTTGGTTTCTTTCATTTGTTGCATAGCTTTGTAGATATAGACATTTAGCCAGTAAATTGTTGCCCATGCATGATGCCAGCCTTGTAGCTAGATGACAAAATATGATGCGATAAAGTTGATAATGGAACAGTTGAGAAAATGCCTCGTTGATTTTGCACATTCTGACAGACTTCCAAGTGGAGATCTCATAATGTAATCAATTGACATTCCCAACAAGACCTTGTTGGAGGAATAATTTCCACTTCAATTTTTGCAAGTAAAAAAACACCTTAACAGGACAATAAGAAAAAAGAATATTGCCAAAAGAAGGGCCAAACAGAGATATCAATGTGAAAATGGATTGCTTTACTTCCATCACTAAAGTCATCTTCTCCAACTGAATGCAAGAACTCGAAGTAAAGTTTCATCTTACTAAAGAAGGTCAGAAAGCAGAAAACCCAATGGAACAGTGATCAGTGCAAGTGACCAACCTTACGGAAAAAAATAGTATATAAATGGCTGCATAGAGTTTAAATGCCCTTTGTCCTATTACATTCATGGAATCAGGGCAAATATTGACCACCATTTATTGTTTTTCTTTTACATTCATCTTGACCGATAATGATTAAAAGGATGCTAAAAACCAAAAATACTACCATTGTTGATACTTGGGAGAAAACAAAAGTAAAAAGCACAAAGGAAATTCAACAGCATTTATTGACACATATAGAGGCTACCCAGCAATGCGAAAAACTACAATATTCTCTTGTTAAAGTAAGCATAACATGTAAAACTGAAGATCATAAAATTTCAAGTTATTTTCCAGTAAATTTGGAAGAAAAAATGCTTTCAATATAAATTGTCAGTTACGTATTAGTCTTGACTTCTAAAGCTCAAGGTAACAAAAGATGAAATGGAGAAACTTTAACTACCTGAAAGGCAAGCAAAATCTTCTGCCTCCTCATGTTAACTTCAAAAGAAAGCAAGTGTGTTTCCAAAAAATCTGAGGAATTGTTCTGCAGTAACTTCAAATATTTTGTAGCTTCTAATAATGGATCTTCAACCTATACAATTGCATATAAAAACCACATGGTGACAATTATATCTTCTAATGTAGAAAATATCTGGCTTGCTTCATGCCAGCCTCAAAACATCCATGTGAAAACAAGATATCTGAAAGCTAGAAAAAGAAAATGTCAGAAATCTAAAACTACCTGCAACAACTTCTCCCCATTCGGGTCAAGATCTACTGGCTTCACATGTTGCCGCTTTCCAAATTTAGAGACATTTCCGGCACTTGACTCCTCATTTTTCTCTTCAGCCTCCTAGAGGAATGCAAGATATTATCACTCAAGTCTATTCAGACAAGATTACTAAGAGATGACAGAAAGAGCAACATACTTTCTTTGCACGGGCTTCTGCCTTTCTCTGCTTTTGTCTCATTTTCTTTTTCAGAGAAGGAGGCAACTTTGCCATTTCTTCATCTTCTTCAACCATTGATTTTGGAGGAGAATCATATAACTTCATATAGCATCTGCACCCAAAAGAACCAAATAAGCACAAAGATGATACACTTCAAATATGAAAAAAAAATACAGGATTATTATGACAAGTAAAAAGAGAAATAATACATAGACCATTATTTATTTTAGTTATTTTATTGGATAATATCCTTTAATGTCGCACTTATACCTCCTACGCAGAATATGACAAAAGCTTGGACTCAGGCAATGAAATTGTGGGTCAAACTGTTATATAGATAACGAGATAGTCCACTGAACCAACAACTGTTCAGAAGATATCAAAGGTAATTATGTCAGCCCAGTCATGTGGGCCCAAACTGCTTCATCACCAGGCCATCTCTGATTTCAAGTATAAAGAATTGCCTATGAACTTGGTCACAGAACCAAAAGTAAAATTTTCCAACTAAAAATACCCCAGGCTAATTTGCATGAAGCATCTAAAGAATGCAAGGGGTAAAGTTGTGTGCATCTGTCCCTCCCCAGACTCCACATTGGCAGGAGACGCATGCACTGGGCTGCCTATCTAAAGAATGCAGATATATAACAATACAAAAGTGAAAACCAGTTGACCAAATATCTCAGATCACTAACGCCAACTAATAAAGAAATAAAAAGAAAGAAATAGAAGAATTTTTTTATAGACAATCAAGAAGCAGGGAACAAATTGTGTTCTTGAGTGGAAAAAGACTTGGTGACTGGGTATTAGTCATGCCAGAATTTGAAGGTGTTTCAAAGGAAGTTTTTGAAGATAACTTTTTGTCTGATATTTTTTTATTTACTACCAAAAAGAAATTAAAAGAAAAAAGAAATCACCTGATAGCCCCAACTGCTGCCTTATGAAAATATTTATGTGAATGCAATCGATCTTGAAATTTCAGCATTTCCACATAGGCACGAAGAGTCATTTTTCTTAGGCAATATGAATGGAAATCAAATTGGTCTTCAGTCATGTCTGCATAATGCTTCTCAATAGCCAAGAAATTTTTCAAAGCACGCCCGAGATCCCCTTGCCGATAGTAACTTTCACCAGAAGCAAGTTCATACCTTCTCAGAATGCACAAGCAAACAAGATTAGCAGGCTTATAATCATGACACTGCCACTCAGTTTTGTCAATGGATCAAGAAAGTGACTGGCTAACATAACAAACAAACAAAAAAGGATAGCCTGAGACCAGTGTTTTAAAAGGCGTGGGAGGCGTATGCCTGGAGGCGCGAAACGCCCTGAGGCGTATGCCAGAGGTGCTGACACCTCTGAGGCGTATGCCAGAGGTGCTGACACCTCTGAGGCGTATGCCTCAGGTGCAAGAGGCATGCACTGCCTCTTGCGCTTTTCTCATGAACCGTGCTAGAGGCGTACGCCTCTTGTGCCTCATGCACATCTGATATGAAAATACAGAAAAAATAAAAAGAAAAAATAAAAAAACGAAAGGAAAGGAAAGGAAAAGAAAAGAAAGGGAAAGAAAAGGAAGGGAAAGAGAAGAAAAAAAAAAGAGAAAAGGAAAGAAAAGAAAAGTAAGGGAAGGGAAGWAAAGATAAGGGGAAAGAAAATGGTTTGCCCCCTATCCCTTCGGCTGGGGAGCGATCGATGCAGCCCAATTTGTTTTTTTGAGTTGGGGGGGGGGGTCCCTTCGCTTCGACAAGACCCCACCCTTTGAACTACTGTTATGCATTTTTGTTCTTCTTAATATAAAAGATTTTTATCAAAAATAAAGAAAAAATGAGATCCCCCTTCCTTTTCATCCTCCTCATAACCCCCCTCCTCTTAAAGAGGCTTACGCTGCTTGTGTTCTGAATTACGCCTCACACCTCTAGGTAGTGGAATGCCTCGCGTCACGCCTCCGCATTTTAAAACACTGCCTGAGACAATAAAAAAGGGATGCCTTGAGTGTGCTTAGGCTGGGAGCTGGGTTATACATAAATCTTTGTTTTACATTTTCTCAAAATGGAGCCTTACTTTGTTCACTCACACACCTTGCCTTGCACCTCAATCAATAGGAACCCCTTGCACTTTAGTCGTGCTTCTTGCTTTTAAAATGCTGAGCTGAGAGGGTAGGGATGGTCATTGTGTGTGTATGTGTGCATACACACACATGCATGAATGCATGAACCTGTTCGCATGAGAGAGAAAGCATGGAAAATCTAAATTTTCCACACACACACACACATATAGATATAGATATAGATAGAGAGAGAGAGAGAGGGAATCTATATGTTTGTGGAAACCCATCTACATCAGCTCACCACCAACTGGAAGAGCACCCTTGTCTCCTCAACTTTGCTCTTTTATACTATGCTTTGTTTCTATATAATATACCTCAACAATTACCTTGTTTATATAACATGGGGGGATATATTATGCAATGTTAAATTGTTGTTAGACAAGGGTGATTACTTGGTGCAATGGTAAAATCTTGACCCAACAAGTATGAGAAATGCAGGTTCAAGTCCGAGAGCAGCCATTTTGTGCAAAGAAATGCCAAATATAAGGTCCATATCCAGTCTACTCCTCCCAAGGTCCCAGATTGCCAGGACCATCATTGGTCATTGGTTAATGGCCCTTTTAGAAACATTATTTGAAAATAAGTTTTTCATTTAACTACGTCAACCAATCATTAGTCAATCCGGTCCACGTTCCAGCATCCCATGAAACAATATCATGGATATCACCCAACTAGTTAATGATACGGTTAGTATGGCTCTCAACTGACCAATCAGTGCATTAGTCAGTGCCTTTGATAACGAAGTTGTTACCAATCATCTTTTTGTTTTTTATCAATAACAATGAATTTCATTAAGATTAAAGAGTTAGTATACATACAAACAGAGGGTATTGTTACCAGTCAACTTACAAAAACACAAAAAAGTTAACAGTCATACCACATGCACTGCATGTCATGAAGGTTATTGTGCTGGTCTCCATCTTTTGTGAATAAAACAGCTGTTTTTTCTGCTAATCCTACCTTTACAAGATAAAAAAGATAACATTGAGTTAGATTTAATATCACCAATGCAAGGACAAAAGTAGAGGTGAATGACCAAATGACCAAGAACCACTCCCCTTATTGGCTGGACCGGGGGAAGGGGGTTCCAAACAGAAGAAATACCTGATCAGCCTGGAGCATACGCTTAACACATTCACTATTTATGAAACGATCTGCAAGATCCATGGACCTAGCTTCATCTGCCAAAGCTGCAGCAGCTACCAAGTCACCTGCATGTTTCAATATCCTGCCCTGTGATCAAAGAACATTTCAACTAACTGTAAGACCTTTCTATCCATAGCAACTTTTATTTGAAAACCATCATGCTAAAGTGCTAATTAAGACAAGGAATTAATGTAAAAAAATGAAATGTTCAATAAAATTTGGGCATGTGAAATTAACAAACAAGCAACTGAAGCCCTTAAGTCTTAAGAGAAAAGAAAAGAAAACCCTCTCTCCAATCACTATATTCAAGATGTAAGAGATGGGGAGGGTTTTACACTAATACAGTGTTGGTTTGATGCTCAATCAGATTCAGATCCAGAGAACTAACATCGCTGAAATAGAGGTAGTGGGATATTGAACAGTGAGTCGCTCTTGAAATAGGTAGGTTAGAGAGGGGTCTTGCTTCCCTAGAACTGCAGAGAAGCAATGACCCTGGAAGGATACACAAAATATATATGACAGGAAATTGACGAACCATAACAGTGATATCAGAAACTGACTACAAAACAGAATCCAGAAGCCATGAACGAACCTTGACAGAGTATAGATCAATCACGGTTGGAGTATGATCAATGGCCTCATCAATTTTATTGAGAGCAACATCAAATTGGCCCCGTCTATCATAATGCTGCATCACATATTCATTAAGAAGATTCATTGTAAAGAAAACAGGTGGTTACAGTTTCCAAAGAAATTTCAACCAATAACACTGCAGAATATAACCTGAGCTAACAAAAATAAAATCCACATAAGTGTTGAAGGAGGTTCCTTCTCAGACCTGCGAGTAACAAAATTCCCACTTTAGCTAATGTAAAAACAATTGTGTATAACTGACACAAACATACTTACATACATATTACAAGATAACCTCACAGTCTAGAGAACAAGCAGAAACTTATAATAATTATTCAAAATCAGGAAGAAAGTAGATTTCGGTAAAAAAAAAGGTCAGAAACAGTCATCACAACTAGTGGATATTTCTGGTATCCACATTTAGTGGATAAATAAAACAAGAAATGATAAATAAAAAAAATCACACATTTAGTGGATATTTCTGGTATCTATTTGCTTGTTCATCAGGATTCAAGATGTACAGGACTCTCTGGGGGTTGGTGAGACTAGAAAACTTAGAAACTCAAGTAAATTACTGAAAAAGTTAGAAAAGAATGTGATCTTTGAAGAAAAATGAAAAGAGAAGATCTCTAGCCGCCTCCTCCCTTTCTATTTATACTTAACTGAAAGTGTACAAAGACTAAACAGGCCTTAATAGTGCATCTTTAACTAAAGGGATCACAAGCTTTAAAACATAAAAGAACAAATGGGCTTAGGCACAACAACTAAATAGAAAACAAAACTACTAATAAACAGAAAAGGAAAACTGGGGCCATAAAGCTCTCAGCCCATTAGCTGAACTGTCAACAGTAAGCAAAGACTTCCAAAATAAAAGCAATTTTTGACTCAACCACTATTAGAGTCATCCATTAAGTCTAAAATTGGAGATATCAAGTGAAATTACTATTGATTCATTTGCCAGAGGATGTTATCCCATCAACAGATCCTCTACATGTAAGAAGCAGACAGTTATTCATGACACCCCCAAAAAAATAAATAAATAAAAAGGATCAATTGAACTAAACCTCAACAAATTCTTTCTATTTAAAATTAAACCATCAATGTTTGGAGGAGAAGTTTTGGACAGCAGAACAGCATTGATTCCAACACATTCGGGACCAGTTAGAACAGTGAATTGGCAACAATAGAGTCTTACCTCTCATTAAGGCTCAAGCTATTAATTACTACTTCCTATGGGCTCAGAGGCTTAGAGTGAGCCAGACTCTCATATTTTATAGGCAGGATGATGGATAGAAACATGTCTGGTAGACTTCAGATGTTACGCCATAAGATTAGGCCTGACCTTTGTTATCAGAGTACTTCATTCCACTAGGTTCTCATTTCCCAATATCAAGCCAATTCCATAATAATCTAGCAAAGAGTGGAGCCACAGAGTGATATATAGTTTTTTTACTAGGATATTGCATTACCAAATAGACGATGTATTTTTTTTTTTTGGTATCTTCTGTACAAAGATCCCACCTGTAGATATTGGGCAGCTTCAAGTTTGTTTTTGTTATATCGGGGTTTCGTACTTATATCATCTTATACTTGTACTTCAATACAATAACATTTCTTGCTAATAAAAAAGAACTTCAGTTTGATATTTTTGATAGATGGCAAAATAGGATACAAAAAATCTAATAGTTTGGCTGATGGTTTGGATAAACAATAGGCAACAGTTATTTTGGGCTCAAAAGTAAAAGAACTTGTAGGTAGAGATAGCAGGGGGTGTGCTCTTAAATTTACTATGAATTGTATACACACAATCTCTTGTTGTACTTGCTTGTCTTATTAATGAAAAATCTTGATCTTTGTTGCTCATAAAAAAAGACAAAAGAAAAAATAAAAGATACAAGAAAAAAATTAGGAAAGCACATAAAACAAGTATACAAGGAAGGAATTGCAGGTATGACAAAACATAAACAACCAGATCCTGAGATACCGAAAAATAAACAAAGGAAAAGAAGAGTGAGCCATTAGATCAAAAGAACCAAGGCCCGGTTTGGTTCGCGGGAATAGGGGTCTGGAATCGGAATCCCATTCCCATTCCTTCTGGAATGGCATTCCCCCATTTGAGGGAATGACCATTCCCTACCCCTCCCTTGGGAATGAAATCCCATTCCTGTCTGAACCAAACAGACTATGGGGAATAGGCCATTGAAGGATTTTGATTCCAATTCCGGTTACGAACCAAACGGACCCTAAAAACACCAACTCCTAATGCAGAACCTTTGGAACCAAAGGCATCAACTGACTGCAAAAAGCAAAAGAAGAGTGAAAAATTTTCTGAACCAAACAAACTATGTGAAACTTAAGGTACAAAAGGGGAGGTAAAATGTCTTAACTCCCCACCAACAGAATACAATGGAAGAAAGTCAAAAGTTAGCCCAAAAAATAGATTCCCTATTCACCCCTTGCTTGGCTAACCCATCAGCAAGAATCTCAGCCCTAAGAGAGTCTCCTTCTCCAATTGGGCCTGAGAACATAGCAATGATAGCCCCATCCTCATTCCTGAACACTCCCCCAATCCCAGAAGGCCCTGGGTTCCTTAAGCAGCTACCATCAAAATTCAGTTTTATGAACCCAGAGGAAGGAGGGGACCAAGAAGAACTACAAGTCCTCTTACACAGGGCAGAGGAAGCTATCTCTTTCCAATTTCTTACCAAATTGGCCACAGAATAGTCTGAGAACAGTTCCATAGTTTTCAGCCAATGGGCCACCCTTAACAATATTATGTCTAATAAGTTTTTCAGGGTTCTTTCCTTGTCTGAAAATATCTGTGAGTTTCTTTCTTCCCATAGTGACCAACACACTGCTGCCCTAATGCCTCTCCACATAATCTTCCCTCTCTTCTTTGGCCATCTGAAAAAAGAAGAAGAGAACAACCTTTGGACGCTCCTAGGGGGAATCCAAATACACCCAAAAAGGGAAAAAACCCACTCCCATACTGATTTAGCAACCGAACAAGTAATCATAAGGTGGTAACCAGTTTCCCCATCAGCTTTACAGAGAGTACACCTATTAGGAAGTAAACAAGAATTGGGTCTCTTTTTTTGAAGTAGGTCATTTGTGTTAATTCTTTCCAGGAAAGTTTCCCAACAAAAACTACCAACCCGAGGAGGAATGGGCCTACTCCAAATTTCTTTAACTGGGAAGGACAACCCAGTAGGACAAAAGGCTGAGTTAATGTCTCAAAGGAAGCACAAGAGAAAATACCTGATGAGGAAGGAACCCAAAATCTGGTGTCCTCCTTATTAGGGTCCAAGAACACATTTTCAAGGATGGCTAACAACAACATGATGCAGCCCAAGTCTATATCCCTAATTGCCCTTCTCAGTCCTAGGTTCCACCCAAAACCAGAAGGAGAGTCTAAAGGGCTTAAGAAGGAAGATATGGTTTCATTTTTCAACTCTGATAGAGCATACAAATAGGGAAATTGGTCCATCAAAGGTGAGTCCCCAACGGCCCAACCCAAAGTTGTTCCCAAAATTTTATTCTATTACCAAAGTTAAGACCATACCCGATCCAAGGGGAGAAGACTGGAAGAAACTTATATATGGCTTTCCAAGGAGAGGCAGCTGTAGCCCTTGCCAAAATTCCAAGTTCCCAACCATCGTCTTCCAGCCCATGTATGCTAGCCACAATCTTTGTCCACAATGTCTCTTTCTAATGGAAACCTCCATTACCATTTCCCCAACAATGCCATTATCCTTTTCCTAATATTCCCAATCCCAAGACCTCCTAGCTTTTTACATCTAGTTACCCCCTCCCATCTCACCCTATGGTCCCGCTATTCCTCTCCAGGCTCCCACAAGAAATCCCTCATAAGTTTTTCCAAAATGTTAGAAACCTTTGTAGGGATCTTAAACACTAATAGGAAGTAAACAGGTAGGTTAGCTAGGGTTGACCTAATTAGAGTGATTCTCCCCCCAAGGAAATATAATTTTTCCTCCAAAAAGCAAGCCTTTTTTCAAATCTCTCCACCACCGGGTTCCAAAAGCTTACCTTCTTAGGGTTAACCCCCAAGGGGAGGCCTAAGTAAATCATAGGCCAATTCGAGGTAGCACAACCTAACACACTTGCATATTCACTTAACTCCCTCTTCTTCAAATACACACCCACCATACTACTCTTATCCAAGTTTACCTTGAGATTAGACATCTGCTCAAAGATTTGTATTGCCAATTTTAAATTCCGGATACAATTGATGTCCCCACCTTCACAAAACAAGATTGTGTCATCTGCAAACTGCAAATGTGTAAGTAGTACCCCCTCCCTTCCTACTCTCTAGCCTTTTATTAAATTCCTCGAGTCCGCTCTATGGATCAATCTCCCAAGGACATCAGCAATCATAGTGAAAAGAAAAGGGGATAGTGGATCTCCCTGTCTTATTCCTCTCGAGGTAGGAAAGAAACCCACCACAGTTCCATTCACCAAAATAGAATAGTGGCAGCTCCTAACACAGCCCCAAATCCATTTACACCAACTATCTCCGAATCCAAAACTTTTCAACACCTCCAATAGGAAAGACCAATCAACCATGTCATAAGCCTTCTCCAAGTCCAGTTTGCAAAACACTCCCTTCTTCTTGGATTTCCTAAAGCTCTCCAGACTCTCATTTGCAATCAAGATTTGATCGGTAATCTGTCTTCCCTTGGTTAGGTACAATTATGGTAGGAAGAACCTTCTTCACCCTTAGAGACAACACTTTTGCAATTATTTTATACAAATTGTTCACCGAACTAATAGGTCTAAAGTCCCTTGTCTGTGATGCCTCTTTCTTCTTTGGTACCAGAGCAATGAATGTGGAGTTCAAACCCGGGTTAATTAAACCCCTTTTGTGGAACTCCTCAAACACTAACCCAAGATCCTTCTCCACAATATCCCAACAATCCTGATAAAAAGCCATTGTGAAACCATCTGGACCTGGAGCTTTTGTTCTATCCATTGAAAAAACTGCTTCCTTTATCTCCTCCAACTCAAATCTCTTTTCTAACCACTCTCTGTTTTCTTTAATTAGAGTCGACCAATCCAAACCCTCCAACCAAATCCTTTCATTTAAAGGTCTTCTGAAAAATAGATTTGAAATGACTTACAAAGGCCTCTGCTATTTCTACCGGGTGGGATATGACTGCTCCTTCAACTTCCAATTTTGAGATGAAG